TCTCTTATACGTTTAAAGATATATTTATTTCATTAATGTTGATGTAAAAATTTATAATTTTGCACCAAAGGAATCTTAGAAAACTTACCTAACCTTATTATAACAAGAACAATTTATTTTAGCCTAACCCAACTAAATATATTTTAGATTTGTTTACAATAGTTTAATACTAAACAAACACAGTGAAATATGCTTTTTTTCGTTAGGTTCAGAATGATTTTGGCGAAATTATTGCATACACAAATTTTCACTTGTCCTATATTGCAAGATGAGCGTTGCTATTTAAGCCAAGATGGTAAGTTCTGCCTATTCGGTACGACATATATATATATATATATAATATATATATATATATATATATATATATATATATATATATATATATTAAAATATATATTATATATATAATATATATATATATATATATATATATATATATATATAATAGGAATAGTTTACCACTGATGGCGTTAGAGGCAGAGGTCCCACAAGTGACGCTATCTTAACCAGGGTCGTGTCCACACTGCTAGTGCTCGCGTCGTGTACATACTTATATATCCCATGCACATTTCGTAAACAATTTTTTTGCCGCCCAGGTGTCCATTAAGAAAAATATTCATTGTGCAACTGAGGTTGATGACTTGTCCATCTGTTTATTTTATCTATTACGGCTGGCACCTCTTGGCTCGTGGAGTGTGAGTTGCATAGTCTTGGCTCCTGGAGCGTGAGAGACATATACACAGTCTTGGCTCCAAGAGCGTGAGAGACATATACACAGTTTTGGCTCCTGGAGCGTGAGAGACATATACAGTCTTGGTTCCTGGAGCGTGAGAGACATATACACAGTCTTGGCTCCTGGAGCGTGAGAGACATATACACAGTCTTGGTTCCTGGAGCGTGAGAGACATATACACAGTCTTGGTTCCTGGAACGTGAGAGACATATACACAGTCTTGGTTCCTGGAGCGTGAGAGACATATACAAAGTCTTGGTTCCTGGAGCGTGAGAGACATATACACAGTCTTGGTTCCTGGAGCGTGAGAGACATATACACAGTCAGTATTGGCTCCTGAAGCGTGAGAGACATATACACAATCTTGGTTCCTGGAGCGTGAGAGACATATACAAAGTCTTGGTTCCTGGAGCGTGAGAGACATATACACAGTCGTGGTTCCTGGAGTGTGAGAGACATATACACAGTCTTGGTTCCTGGAGCGTGAGAGACATATACATAGTCTTGGTTCCTGGAGCGTGAGAGACATATACACAGTCTTGGTTCCTGGAGCGTGAGAGACATATACACAGTCTTGGTTCCTGGAACGTGAGAGACATATACACAGTCTTGGTTCGTGGAACGTGAGAGACATATACACAGTCTTGGTTTGTGGAGCGTGAGAGACATATACACCGTCTTGGTTCCTGGAGCGTGAGAGACATATACACAGTCTTGGTTCCTGGAGCGTGAGAGACATATACACAGTCTTGGTTCCTGGAGCGTGAGAGACATATACACAGTCTTGGTTCCTGGAGCTTGAGAGACATACACAGTTTTGGTTTCTGGAGCGGGTGAGAAGTATACTCAAGTCAAGGCTCTATTAGCGGGTGGAACATATGGGCAAGTCATAGGATTCAAACCGGGGCTCTCTGTATCAAAGTGCGCATTACTTTATCCTGTGTGGATAAAGTACTCTACTTTACATGCGGAATACGTAGGCCCGAATCCTGCTGTGAACTGAAATATAATGTTTGTAAATAATTCTCCATCTCCGAATTGTTAAGCATAAATACACACGCCACACACACACACACACACACACACACACACACACACACACACACCCCACACACACACACACACACACACACATATATATATATATATATATATATATATATATATATATATATATATATATATATATATTATATATATATATATATATATATCGTGCCGAATAGGTAAAATTGGTTAATTAGCAAGAACTCATTTAAAATTAAATCCTTTCTAAAATTTCTCATATACGTTTAAAGATATATTTTTTCATTTACTTAATGTAAAAATTAATAATTTTGTACCTAAAGAATCTTAGAAAACTTACCTAACCTTATTTTAACAAGGGCAATTTAATTTAGCCTAATCCAACTAAATATATTAGATAAGTTTACAATAATTTAATAATAAACAATCACAGTGAAATATATTTTTTTTCGCTAGGTTCAGAATGATTTTTGAGAAATTATTGCATATACAAATTTTTGCTTGCCCTATTAAGCAAGAAGTGCGTTGCTATTTAAGCCAAAATCGCAAGTTTTACTTATTTGGCACGACATATCTATATATATATATATATATATATATATATATATATATATATATATATATATATATATATATATATATATATATATATATATATATATATATATATATATATATATATATATATATATATATGCTTAACAATTCTTGTACTGTATACATATTGGAAGAACAGTTTACCACTGATGGTGTTAGCGGCAGAGGTCCCACTAGTGATGTTGTCTTGACCAGTGTTGAGATCACACTGCGAGTGCTCGCGTCGCGTAAGTACTTTTATACGCCATGCTGCTTTCGCTAACAATTTTTTGCCGCTCAAATTTTGTATAAAAAAAGAAACCACTATGACCCTGTGGGTAATGACTTCTCCATTAACTGATATAGCGGTCTACGAGACGTTCTGGCATACTTGTGCTTAAATGAGATTCCAAATTCCATTGATGTTTAGATTCGAATCCTTAGCATTTATCACCAAAATTTATCACCAAAATTTGATGGAACATGTGTACAAGATTATAATCACTTTGTAAATTTAATATACCTGGTTGATCTTAGGTCAGTTGAATGTTGTGAATCACATCCGGAAGGTTCGTAGTATATTTTTTGTTAACAAGATCTTGGTCCTGAGCAGGTGGACGTGTGGGCAAACTATCATGTTAAGGACGGGTGGCACTTGTGGGTAGGTCATTGCTCTAGGAGCGGATGTAACGTATGAGCAAGTTATTGCTTTAGGAGCGGATGTAACGTATGAGCAAGTTATTGCTCTAGGAGCGGGTGTAACGTATGAGCAAGTTATTGCTCTAGGAGCGGGTGTAACGTATGAGCAAGTTATTGCTCTAGGAGCTGGTGTAACGTATGGGCAAGTTATTGCTTTAGGAGCGGATGTAACGTATGAGCAAGTTATTGCTCTAGGAGCGGGTGTAACGTATGAGCAAGTTATTGCTCTAGGAGCGGATGTAACGTATGGGCAAGTTATTGCTCTAGGAGCGGGTGTAACGTATTGGTAAGTCTCCTTACACTCTTAGCCCTTGTTCTCCTTGAAGTTAGTACGTGCCTGGATGTTACTGATCTGATGTAGGTGGCACCCTATGGGTTGGTAGCCAGCTGGCATGGTGCTTTCGCGCTGGCCTGGAATTTTTCGGCTCACTCGCCATGAGTTCGAACCACACCCGTACCGTGGTTTGGTTGGTAGTGTAGTTCTGGGCTGAACCCTGAAATGACCTGAGGTAAGATAACATCCCTTGGTCTGTACACTCAGTAGTCTTAGAGAAAGATATCGTGCTAACCTTTTGGATGTCACTGACTGTTGTTGCATACTGCTCGATAAACAGGAAAATCAGCTTCACGGTCACAGGTCCAGAATTAAACCCGGATCCTTTGGTTGTGAGCTTCCACTGTTATATTGAGGAGGATACAAGAGTAAGCAAGTTTTTACACAAGAGTGTTTGGAATATAATAATGTCTAAATAAAGTAAGTTGCCCAGCAGACAGTAGACAAGCACACGTTACATGATCATTGTAGTACTCATACCTGAAGAGTTAGGCTGAGGTCTAGCAGACATTGCAGAGTATGTAGGCTCTGTTATAGCTAAGGTTGTAACATCCCATCATTCCAAGATGACCCACGGCACCTTCAGTTTAGCTAAACTCCTGTACCATCCTATTTATACTTACATTTATGGTAGTAGGTTGGAAACAGCAACCACCCAGGGAGGTACTACCGTCCTGCCAAGTGAATGTGAAACAGAAAAACTGAAACCTGTAACTGCTTTACATGATGGTAGGATTCCTGATTCCTGGTGTCTGTTTCTGTCTCATAAACACGCTGGGTAACGGGTATATCTTGCTACATTCTACTTGCACTTAGGTCACACTACACAGGCACGCACATCTAGGCTTTTCTTCCCTTTCTTAATAGTTCTTGTTCTTCTTTATTTCCTCTATTCTCCATGGGGAAGTGGAAAAGAATCTTTCCTCCGTAAGCCATGCCTGTCGTTTGAGGCGACTAAAATGCCGGGAGCAATGGGTTAGTAACCCCTTCTCCTGTATACATTATTAAAAATAGAAGAAAAACTTTATAAAATTGGGATGCTTGAATGTGCGTGGATGTAGTGCGGATGATAAGAAAGAGATGATTGCTGATGCTATGAATGAAAGAAGTTGGATATCCTGGCCCTAAGCGAAACAAACCTCTGAGAGAGTCAGAAGCTAAGGAAGGGGTAGCAATAATGTTAAAGGATCAGTTATGGAAGGAGAAGAAGGAATATAAATGTATAAATTCAAGAATAATGTGAATTAAAATAAGGGTCGGATGCGAATATTGGGTCATAATAAGCGTGTATGCACCTGGAGAAGAGAAGAGTGCAGAGGAAAGAGAGAGTGATTTTGGGAGAGGTTCAGCTAATGTATATGAACTTTTCAACCAAGTGAGAGAGTAATTATGGTAGGGGACCTAAATGCTAAAGAAGGAGAAACATTTAGAGGATGTAGTAGGTAAGTTTAAGGTGCCAGGTGTAAATGATAATGGGAGCCCTTTGATTGAACTTTGTATAAAATGGGGTTTAGTTACAGGTAATACATATTTTAAGGAAAAGAGGATAAATAATTATACAAGATATGATGTAGGGCGTAATGACAGTAGTTTGTTGGACTACGTATTGTTAGGGAGTGATGGAGTGATTTTCGTGTGCAGGTTTGGCACCAATGCCTCCAGAACCTTCCAAGTGTATATTATCATGTATCTCTCTCGCCTGCGTTCGAGGGAATACAGATCAAGGACCTTCAACCGTTCCCAGTAGTTTAGGTGCCTTATCGTACTTATGTGTGCCGTGAAGAGAATCGATTTGAAGAGAATCGTCATGGGGTTGGCATCCTAGTTTTGAAGGCTCTCATTATCCATCCTATCATTTTCCTAGCGGATGAGGTAGATACATTGTTGTGGTCTTTGAAGGCGAGATCCTCTGACATTATCACTCCCAGGTCTTTCACATTAATTTTCCGTTCTATTGTCTGGTTAGAATTTGTTGTATACCCTGACACATTTTTAATTTCTTCAAGTTTCCCATATCTGAGTAGTTGAAATTTCTCCTCGTTGAACTTCATACTGTTTTGAGTGGCCCATTCGAAGATTTGGTTGATGTCCACTTGGAGTCTCACGGTGTCTTCGATGGAGGTCACTGCCATGGTAATCTGGGTGTCATCCGCAAAGGAAGACACGGCTTACATCTCTATGTCAGAAATGAGGATGAGGAATAGAATGGGAGAGGGGACTGTGCCTTGCGGAACAGAACTTTTTACCGTGGCTGCCTGGGACTTTACTCTGTTTACTATTACTCTTTGTGTTCTATTTATCAGGAAGTTGTAGATCCGTCTACCAACTTTTACCGTTATTCCTCTATCACGCATTTTGTGTGCTATTACGCCATGGTCACACTTGTCGAAAGCTTTTGCAATGCCTGTGTATACTACATCTATATTTTGTTTATCCTCTACAGCAGTCAGGACCTTGTCATAGTGGTCCAGTAGCTGGGACAGGCAGGAGCGACCTTCTCTAAACCCATGTTGCTCTGGGTTGTGTAACTGATGGGCATCTAGGTGGTTGGCTATCTTGCTTCTTAGAACCCTCACAAAGATTTTTATATGATATGTTAGCACTATCAGTCTGTAGTTCTTTGCAATTGCTTTACTGCCACCTTTGTGGAGTGGGGCTATGTCTGTTGTTTTTAGTGTGTGTGTGGGATGACCCCTCTGTCCATGCTCCCTCTCCATAAAATGCTGAAGGCACGCGATAGGGGTATCTTGCAATTCTTGATGAACACAGAGGCCACGAGTCTGGGCCTGGGGCAGAGTGCATGGGCATGTCATTAATTGCCTCTTTAAAGTCTTGTGGGGTTAGAATAATATCCGAGATTTTTGGGATGACCAAATTTTGGGTTTCATTCATAAAGAATTCATTTGGATTGTCGACCCTTAATCTGGGCGGCTCGCTGAACACTGAGTTATATTGAGACTTTAGTATCTCACTCACTTCTTGGCTATCACTCAGCAGCTCTGTGACTCTTCGCCCTTCATCTGTATGGGGAACGTCTCTCTCTCTTTCTAATTTACATCTTCTCTTTCTTTTTCTTAATGGAATGTGTCTTGAGCAGATCTCAAGAACCACAGAATTCATTTTTTTCGAGGCAAATGTTCGGGTCCGTGTTGTTTAGGATATCTTCTCAGCTTGTTTCATTTAGGACATGGTTTACTTGATCCCACTGTATGTTTTTGTTATTGAAATTGAATTTCGTGAAAAGACCTTCATGACTGCTTACATTTTGCTGGTCCAGAGCCCTGTGCATACATGTCTACCTCTATTATGTTGTGATCTGTTATATTATGTATAGTTATATTATGTACAGTTATATTACGTATCAGATCGTAATTGTTAGTGAAGATGAGGTCCAGCGTATTTTCTAGTCTTGTAGGCTCTACTATTTGCTGACTTAAGGTGAATTTCGTTCTGAGATTTAATAGTTCGTGTGTGTGTGAATTTTCATCTGAGCTGCCTCCCGGGGTGATCTCTGCTAAAACATTGTTTGCTATACTCCTCCATTTTAGGTGTCTCAAGTTGAAATCTCCTAGTAGTAAGATGTTTGGGGCAGGAGTTGGGAGATTTTCCAGACAGTGGTCAAATTTCTCAAGCTGCTCCTGGAATTGCTGGGAAGTTGCATCTGGAGGCTTGTATACTACTACAATGACAGGTTTTGGTTTTCAGTCTTTACCGCTAAAACTTCAACTACATCATATGAGGTGTTTAGTAGTTCTGTGCAAATGAGCGACTCTGTGACATACAGGCCAACCTTCCCTTATTGCCTATTTAGTCTGTCGCATCGGAACAGGTTATAACCTGGGATCTGTATTTCGTTGTCATAATGATCCTTTATGTGGGTCTTTGTGAATGCTGCAAACCTTGCAACACTGCATAGCTCCTGATGACGCACTGAGAAGTGCCAAAGCATTTGAGCTAAAGATATCCACCCCCCTTCCCCTGTGGCTTGTCTTGCATAGTTAAGATCGCCTGTCTGCGATGAGGTGTGAGAGATACATGTCTAGTACATATCGTTATGTGTTTGTCACTGATTATAATGCGAAAATTTCATCCAGCTCCTCAGAACTGGGGTGTGTGCCCAAAATACAGCAGGCATTACCCCTCTGAACAGCAGCGCTGAGTTGCTGGAACAGAAAACTAGCTATC